GATTATCAGTATTGTTCTACTTTTTTAAAGAATGCCATTGGAGCCTTGATAAGGGTTGCTTTGATCTGTATATTGCATTGGGTAAGATGGACATTTTAACAATGCTAATACCCCCAGTCCATGAGCAGAGAATATCTTTCCATTTTTTGGTGTCTTCTCTATTTCCTTTAACAGTACCTTATAGTTTTCTTTGTATAGGTCCTTCACCTCCTTTGTTAAGTTTACTCCCAGGTGTTCCTTTTGTTTATGTGATTGTAAGGGGAATTGTTTTCCTGGTGACTCCATTCTCTTCTAGCTCATGGTTTGCATATAGAAACACAACTGATTTTTGTAAATTAATTTTGTAACCTGCCACTTTATTGTTTTTATTATTTCAATTAGTTTTTACTGGAGTCTTTAGGCTTTTCTATATATATATTATCATATCATCTGCAAATACTGAGTTTTACTTCTTTCCCAATTTGGATTCCTTTTGTAACTTCTCTTGCCTAATTGCTCTAGCTAGGACTTCCAACTCTGCTGAATAATAGTGATGAAAGCAAACATCTTTGTCTTGTACCAGATCTTAGAAGAAAAGCATTCAGTCTTTTGCTGTTGAGTATCAGCTGTGAGTTTTTTATATATTGCCTTTATTATGTTGAGGTTTGTTCCATCTGTCCCCAGTTAATCATAAATGGATGTTGAATCTTATCAAATGCCTTCTCTGCATCTATTGACATGATCATAGGATTTCTATCTTTTGTTGATGTGAATTGTATTGATTGATTTTCAGATTTTTGAGTCATCCTTGTGTCTCTGGAGTAAACCCTACTTGATCATGCTATATGATCCTTTTGACATATTGTTGAATTTACTTTGCAAAGATTTTGTTGGGTATTTTTATACTTGTTTGAGGTATATTGGTCTGTGACTTTCTTTTTTGTGTGTTGATACCTTTGCTTTTGGTATCAGTGATGTTGGACTCGTAGATTGTGTTTGAAAGTTTTCCCTCTTTCTCAAATTTTTGAGTTTGAGGAGGGCATTAGTTCATCTTTGTAAGTTCGGTAGAACTCATTAGTTAAACCATCTGAAGCCATGCTTTCACCTTTTGAGAGACTTGATTACTGTATCAATTTCTTGTAATAAGTCTGTCAAGGCTTTTTGTTTTTTCCTGATTCAGTCTGAGGATTATAAATATCTAAGAATTTGTCCACATCATGTAGGTTGATCAATTTGCTGACATACAGATGTTCGTAATAATCTCCTAAGATCGATTTGCTGGAGTATAGATGTTCATAGAAATCGCTTATGAAATGTCTGCTGTAACTTCACTCCTTCTGTTTCTGATTCTATTTATCAGATGTTCCTTTTTTTCTTAGTGAGGCTAGCAAGAAGTTTGCTTCTCCCTGCTCCACACCTCCTTCCCAGTGCACCACCAACCTTGTGCAAAGTATTTATGGGTTAGTTCCCCATAGCCAGTGATGTACTGGTGATGTTTCCTGTGAGCAAAATTTAGTTTTTTTCTATTTGTATTTAAGGGAGAGTTTTAATCAAAATCTCCTTATTCTGCCATTTTGTGGGTGAGGTCCCTCCTGCTATGTTTCTGATTTTACTTGTGCCTTTTTTTTTTCTTGATGAGTTTGTCTAGAGGTTTTTCAATTTTGTTTCTATTTTCAAATAACTAGCTCTTAATTTCATTGATCTCTTTTATGTCTTTCTTAGTCTCCATTTATTTCCACTCTGATCTGTACTATTTCCTTTCTTTTTACTAAATTTGACTTCATGTTTTTCTTGTCATGGTCAGTTTAGGGATTGTGTTAGCTTATTTGAGATTTTTCTTGTTTCTGAAGGTATGTGTGCGTCCTATGAAATTCCCTCTTAGAACCTCTTTTGTTGCATCCCATAGATTTTGGTATATTGAATTTCCATTTTTATAGGACTCAAGCTTATTTTTTATCTGATTTTTTTTTCAGTTGACCAGGAGTTGTTCAGTAGTATGTGTTTAATCTCCACATATTTATAAATTTTTCTGTTTTTCTTCTTGTAATTGATTTCTACCTTCTTACCATTGGGGCTAGAAAAAAATACTTGATATGATTTCAGTCTTCTTAAATGTATTGAGATTTGTTTTGTGGCATAACATGTGGTCTATTCTGGAGAATGTGTACTGGAGAAGAATGTGTATCTGCTGTTTTGGGATAGAATGTTCTGTCTGTATTGTCTATTTGGCCTAATATGCCATTTAAAACTGATGTGTCCTTGTTAATTTGCTGTCTGGATGATCTGTTCATAGATTTTATGTGGGTTATTAAAATCCACTGCATTATTTTATGGTGGTTAATTTTTCCCTTTTGGTCTGTTAATATTTACTTTGCATTTAGGTATTCCTAAATTGGATGTTTAATTATTTACAACTGTTACATCCTCTTGTTCCATTGATCCCTTTATCAGTATGCATTGCCTCTTTTTTGGTTGTTTTTACAGTCTGTTTTAAAGTCAATTTTGTCATAACAAGAATGACTATATCACCTTTCTTTTCACTTCCATTAGTATGGAATGTGTTTTTCTTGCCCTTCACTTTTAATCTGTCTTTACATCTGAAGTGAATTACTTGTAAACAACATGTAGATCAGTCTTGGTATTTTGGGGTTTTTTCTTTTATCCATTTGGCCACTCTTGACTAAAGAATTTAGTGCAGTTAGATTTAAAGAGATTATTGATAATATGCATTAATTGCCATTTAAAAATTATTTTCTGTTTTTTTTAACACCTCTTTGTTCCTTCTCTTATTCTCATGGTTTGGTAATTTTTAGTGTTACATTTAAATTTCTTTTTATCAGACTAATTAATACAAAGTAAAAATCAAAATCAACAAGCAACTATAAACCAGAGACACACTATGGGGGGCGGGGGGAGAGAAAGGATTAGGGTCAAAATAAGGGGGGTGCAATTGTATGGAGAATATAACCAAAATGAAAAATGATATAAGAATTATATAAAATATTAAAAATAAATTTCTTTTTCTCTATACTTTTTTGCTTTGTGGTTGCCATAAAGTTGAGTAATATCATACTTACATAGCATACTGTTTTAAGTTGATAGCAATCTAATTTTTTTATAGCAATCTAATTTTGAACTCACTCTAAAATTGTATATTTTCACACCTCCCTACCCATGTTTAATATTTTTGATGTCACAGTTCATATCCTATTTGGTGTGTGTGCACCTTATTTATTGCAGTTTTCCTACCTTTGTCTTTTAACCTTCATGCTAGCTTTATAAGTGATTGATACACTTCCTTTACTATTTGCCTTTACCAGTGAGATATTTTTTCTCTCATGTTTTCTTGTTTCAACTTAGTTCTATTTCTTTTCAGCTTAAAGAAAACCCCTTAATATTTCTTGTAAAGCCAGTTTAGATGAATTCCTTTAGGTTTGCTTATCTAGGAAACACTATCCAATTCTGAGTGATAACTTTGCCAGGTAAAGATATTCACTGTAAGTTTTTTTCTCTCGGCACTTTGACTATACCATACTACTCCTTTCTGCCTGCAAAACTTCTGATGAAAAATCTGCTGAAAGCCTTTTGGGAGAGTTCTATGTGACATGTTGAGTCCCTTTTGCTGATTTTAAGACTTCTCTACATCTTTAACATTTGACATTATCAAAATGTGCCATAATTGTAGGTGGTAGCCTTCCAAGAAGAGTCTATTTCAGTCCTGTGGGGCCCAGAAATGCTAGCCCCTAGTAACCAGAGCCAGGCACCCACAGGACATCCCCTGTGTGCACTACTCAGCCCCTCTGGTTTGAACAGAGCTATGATGGGCACAGGGCAGAGTAAGTCTACTGTGTTCCTGCAAGGAACACAGGTGTAAAGCAAGCTCACTGGCTCTAATTGGATCTGGGGAGCTCTAAAATGACACCTGCCAACACAAGAGCTAGCAAGATAAAGTGCAAGATCAAATATGGCACCTGCCAGCACTACTGTTCAGAGCGAGTTCCCACAGACCCCCTCCCCTCTGGCAGAAACTTTAAGATGAGCTAATAAACCTTCATGGTCTGGGAACTTTTCAAATCACCTCTTGGGTACTGAATCTGTGCAAATAGGAACTAATAGGAAAAACTTTTCAAATCACCTCTTCTGTACTAAATCTGTGCAATGGCCCTTTCAGGGCAGACAATACATTTCTCACAGCATTTGGATCTCCTGAGCATACATCCCATTGGGTTTAAATGTCAGACCTTTCAGGGGACTCCTCACTGGCGCAGGTCCCTAGGTTTGGGTGCCTGCTATGGGGCATAAACCCATCACTTCTCAGGGAGTAATTCCTTGTATGGGAGATCACTCCCAACTGTATTCAGACAAGTATGGATGGAGGTGCTAGAATGTTTTTGTCTGACTTTATTGATAAAACAAAAATTAGAGATCTGACCATGGATTCAAGGAAGGAACATCTGTTGATGATGAAATAGGAGGGGCAGCAACTTCCCTGGACCACTCTGAGTTATCACTAGAGCAAGGTAGTGGGTCTGTTTCTCTCTGGTGCTTGACTGGTGGAGGATTTGTGGTTTTCCTATTAGTTTCAGGGACTAGCAAGGAGGTAATAAGCAAGGGTAAGAGTCCTCTGGAGTTGATGAGAATGCATCCCCATTTCCATTTGGAGCTTGTATCATTTGTTGGGGGAGATTTTTCAGTTAGTTTTCATGTATTTTTTTTTCCGGTGGAACCTCTTTCAAATGTAGCTGTAGAGTGGTCTGTCTGTGGGATAAGGAGTTCAGGATTTACCTATACTATCACCTTGAACAATATACTAAATTTTTTTTAGTACCTACCTTGTACCAGTGTACCTACCTTGAACAACTCAATTCATGATCATTAGAGAAGTGTTTATTTCCTTGTAATCACCACTTACTGGGCTTATTCTACATGAGACAATTTTGGTATGTGATAGGTAACTATTGTTATCCAACATTATCATTCAACAAATGCAAAGAACTAGACATCAGAGGCAAAAACAACCATCGCCTACGTTTTATTCTTGATCTTTGTCACTTCTTTCATGCTTCCTTATTTTGTTCCACATATTAACAACCAGAACCACTCATATGTACACACAAAGGAAACATGCTCAGCATGTATGCGTCGTTGGTTTCCACAGCGTGGCTTATGAAGTATGTCTATGCCACTCTTAAGTGAAAAAACCTCAAACAAGGCAACATGAACCTCACTGGGATAAAAAAAGAAAGAAAGGCTAATAGCATCAAACTAATCCAACAAATGTTTTAAAATTATTGAAATAACAAAGGATACACAGAGGAAGAAGACACAGGATAGGTGCAGAAAAAGCATAAATGGAATTCAGGAAGTTCTGTGATAAACAACAGATAAATCTCCTTGATTTAAAAAAAGATCAGTTGATAAAATAGTCCATTTTCCCTAAAGGGGGAAAAAAGCATAGATATTTATCAAAAGCCAAACATCTAAGGCTTTTGCAGAGGGGAAAAGTGTCATGGGAAAGTGAAAAATAGCTCTAATGTCTATAGCACACAAAATAATAATAAAATACTAAAGGGCAAGAGGGAATATCTAAAAAATAGTGCTCATGTTGGATAAAAATTTAAATGATGGGATTAAATGGTTGTTGCTGAAATAGAAATTGGTACATAAACTCAAGCATTCCCTTTCAGAGGTTGGGCTTCAGCTGCCGGAGCATTTTCAGCATTATCTCTGTCTTTCTTCTTTATTCGCATAAACACAACTGCTAAAATTATACCTAAAAGAGAAAAGTTGTGGTCAAATAAGTGGAATCTTAAAATATAATGTACTGTCACATTCATTTATAAAGTCATACACTGGTAGGAAAAAGTGACTCATTTAACTTCATTTTGTTTGCGGTTCAAAGTTTCGTTGTCCTGGTGACTAAGGGACTCTAGGCATTGGCTTTTTTAAATAAGCTTATCACCTATTTTTTTTATATAATTCTTACATCATTTTTCATTTTTGCACAATATTATCACCTATCCTGTTGCTAGTATATATCAAGTCCCAAATTGGGTCTAAATTAGTGGCTATCACTGGGTCTTTATCAGGGAATACAGAAGGTTTATGCTACTCTAAAGCAGGGGATATGACAGAGTTCCTAAACTTTAGACATACTCAATAAATATTAATTCAATCCTTTATCCCCTTTCCTGGAAGAAATAGTCCAATCAGAATAACCAGAAACCTGTTGGTTAAAAACAGGTTTACCTACACCTACTTTTACTGTGTCCACATCAAAGATCACATTTTCTTTGGTGCTTTCCTTAGCGCCTCCAGCTTGAGTAGACGACCCAATCTTTGTAGTGTCCCCCACCATCTAAACTCTACAATATCACAGTGTGCATTTTAGCACCAAATGTGCACTATAAATCAGACAAATATGAAAACGGAAGTACCTTTAAGAAAATGAACCTGGCAGTAATTTTTATAGGAGGAAGCATGGCAGAAAAAAATTGAATGCTCAGATTCATTACTCATAATAATCCTAACTGCATTTTGAAGAAATAGAATATGAAACTGTTAAGATTCTACATATAGATCCCAAAATTCACATGAGAAACCACCAGCCCTTAAAGCTAGACCCAGAGATGAGCTCATGTCTTTCAGGCCCAGGACAGGAATCCTTGAATCTAGAAATTATACCTACCAATGACCAAGAAGGTGGTCAGGAGTCTTTACTTGCAATAAAATTAAGGTATTAATGGTTGTGTTAGAAAGCAGCTATTTAGTTTATAAACTCATTCTATTTGCCCTTCCATGTTGAAAGGATTAAGACAGAAATAGGAGAAAGGACCTTGGTTCTTGGATAGGACCTCAAATAGCCAACTCAATTAATATGACAGGTGTGCACCAGACATGGTTCTCAGAGAAAAGATGATCACCATGCTCATGTTAGAATGGGTGGCAGCCACTGTCACAAAGGTGTCATAATAATGAAGGGCTTGGGTCATGATAGGAAAATACCAGATTCCAGGAGAGCAATTAAGAACACTTAGACTAACCCTTAGCCCTTGAAAATGAGTATTTCTTTACTCAATTTACTTGAGTAAACCCCTTTACTCAAGTGAACATGAATTGATAGATTATCTATTGCTAATGTCTAATGGTGAGCACAACAGTTAAAAGAGGGCAATTGTAGTATCAATCACTGAGCTGTTCACAAAGACAGCTAGAATAGGAGACTCTGCTGTCTAGGCAGGACTAGGGCTGAGTCACAACTGTTATGTAATGAAATTATTCTAGAGTATGAATGAGAGTCCAGTTATGAAAATACACAAAGGGAAATTTGCAATGTTTTAGGTATGTCAGCATTTATATCACAAAGCTCAACTTTACTTACTTCACTCATGGTCCCGCCTTATAGTCCCGCCTGCCACTGTTGAAGCATCTGTGTATATCTTGCCCAATCCCACCCTACATTTTAAGCACAGTGCCTGACATATAGCAGTGGCATGGCTAGTACATTTCTTTCTGCTTTATCACAAAAGCTTAGAAAGTAGGCATAAAATACCATAACTATGCTTGAAAATCTCTTATGTTATATTTTCCAAATTAGCCAAGAAGGCACTGATAGGTAAAGAGGGGCACTAAAGCAGTATCTCCCAGACAGGAAAGCTTGACGTGGTTTACTAGTGATCTGTATTCTTGGTTATTGCCTCGGTTACCACCAGTTACTCACCAATGACCAAGAAGGTAGTCAGGAGTATACCAACTGCCATACCCACTGTGGGCATCCCAGGCTGTTTACCTGCTTCCCGGTAACAACTTCCAAATTCACACCTGCAAAAATTAACTGAAAAGCAAAGCAGTATTTAGTAGGGAAATTTTTTTTTCCTTCATTTTTTATTTATTTTTTTAAAATAAATATTATTATATTCCCCATATAATTGCAATATCCTTATTTTGACCCCAATTCCTCCCCTCCCTGCCCCCCACCCCCCATAGAGTGTCTCTGGTTCATAGTTTTTTGTTGATTTTGATTTTCACTTTCTTATAGTTATTCATTTTCCTGGTCCCTTATTTAAGTTTTCTAGATTCCTGCTATGAGTGAGACCATCCGGTATTTTTCTTTTTCTTTCTGGCTTATTTCGCTGAGCATGATCCCTTCCAGCGCCATCCATGTTGCTGCAAATTGCATGTGTTTATCTTTTTTGAATGCTGAGTAATATTCCATGGTATATATGTACCACATCTCCTTGATCCAGTCATCTATTTTTGGGCATTTGGGCTGTTTCCAAAGCTTAGCTATTGTAAATAGTGCTGCTATAAACATAGGGGTGCAGGTGTTCTTTGGAATTGATGTTTCTGTGTCCTTTGGGTAAATACCTAGGAGTGGAATTGCTGGATCATATGGAAGCTCTGTTTAGTAAGTCAAGAAATCTCCACACAGCTCTCCATAGTGGTAGGACCAGTTTGCACTCCCACCAACAGTGCAGGAGAGTTCCTTTTTCTCCACACTCTCGCTAACATTTGCTGTTGCTAGTTTTTTTAATATGTGCCATTCTCACTGGTGTAAGATGGTATCTCATAGTTTTGATTTGCATTTCCCTGATTACAAGTGATGTTGAACATTTTTTCATATGCCTGTTGGCCATTTGCATTTCCTCTTCAGAGAAGTTTCTTTTTAGCTCTTCTGCCCATTTTTTGACTGGGTTATTTTCTTTGTTGTTGTTGAGTCTCATCAGCTCTTTGCAGATTTTTGTGATCAGTCCTTTATCATTAGTGTTGGGTGCAAAAATGTTCTCCCATTTGGTGGGGTTTCTCTTTGTTTTTGTTATTGTCTCTTTTGCTGTGCAGAAGCTCTTTATCTTTGCCTTCACTATCACTGTTTTGGGTGATGTGTCTGTAAAGATGTCTTTGAGGTGCATATCACGTAGTGTTTCGCCTATATTTCCTTCTATGTATTTTATGGTTTCAGGTCTTATGTCTAGTTCTTTAATCCATTTTGAGTTGATTTTTGTGTATGGTATGAGGTAGTGGTCAAGCTTCATTCTTTTGCATGTAGCAACCCAGTTTTTTAGTAGGGAAAATTTTTAGACAAACAGTTGTAGAACCCCATAGCAAAAATAAGAATTCTCAAACTACTCCAGGTTGCCTACATCAAAATACCTACCTCTTAGTGAGACAGTCCCCTCCAAGGGTGGCTGGCCATTATCATTGATGCGGATCTCAACATCGTAAGGTTTCTCCTCAAACTTTGTGTGCTTGGTGATGAGAGTGGCATGAGTTCCTGTCAGATTGGGTGGGTGGGGGAGGATGATGAAAACACACCTGATCAGTAGGAATAAAGTTTATCTTTGCCTCATACACCAAGTTTCACTGGGAAACATTAGATATAAGGATGAGTTAAACTACTCTATCACCATCGCAATTACACCTAACAGTTTTTAAAGGGCTAAGTCGAAAATAGTCATCCTTGTTCCCAAAATTGTTTTATGAAATTGCTGCAAACACCAAATTAGAAAAGAGATTTAAAGAAATATCTAACTGCTAGCTTTCCCCTCAAGTTGGATGAAAAGTAAATTCTCAGATCCAAGATCAGAAAGGAGAAACATGAACAAAACTGTACCAAGGTACATAATCAAATCGCTTATAACTAGTAATAGAGAAATCTCAAAAGCATCCCAAGAAAAAACAGACAATTTGCATTGTTTCTTCTTTGTTCCCTTGAATGTAATCTGGAACAGTAAAGAAATATCTTTAAGTACCTTTAAAGTACTGAAAGAAAAAATATATTTCAAAGTATTCTAATTATGTTCTCTGGCTACTATGAAATCAACCAGAAAGATATAGGAAATTTCCAAATATATGGAAGCTAAACCACATCTTAACCCATGGGTCACAGAAAAAATCTAAAGGAAATTAGAATTTTGAAATAAATGAGAATCAAAGAAATAAAAATTGAGCAATGAAAAGAGAAAACGATAAATCAATAAAGCCAAAGGTTGGTCCCTTTGAAAACAGAATAACCTCTAACCATATTGGGCAAAAAAAAAGGAGACGTAATTTTCCAATAGCAGAATGAGGTAATATTATATATTCTGAAGGTTAAGAAAAATACTAAAATGATGGATGTTATGCCAATGTTAGATAAATAAAACAGACATATAAAAGATACAAACAAGCTTAACCAAGAAGAAATCTACAACTTTAATACTTATAATTCCAACTTCTTTACTAGATGTAAGTAATATAACTAAATGTCCTACAAAGAAAACTCCAGGTCCAGATGACTTCACAAATGAATATGAAAAATGGAAAACATTGTATCTTCATTGTGCTGATGGCTTCAATGGTGTATACATAATATCTTTTATAAAATTATGCAGTTTATGGCATATCAACTTTCAGTAGTTCAGTAAAGCTCCTTTTTTAAAATTATGAAATCAGTTTTTTCACTGAAAATTTGGAAACTCTGCTCAGATTGTCCAGCTTTCCTCTACACTAAAGGGGATGCTGTGTGTTAATCTTCCACCAAAGCCTGGAGCTTTCTCATCTGTGGGCATTTAGCTTCACTGTGCAAGTTTCCAAATCATAAACTGGTTCACTGCAGCATGGAAGAAAGCACCTGTTGACTGCTGCCAGCCCACCAAGGCAAAATCTCATTTCATCATCCAGCACTGTTTTTTCCATATACTTTTCACAACTCACCATTGATTGTGGAGAGTTCCCAGTTTTCATTTGAGTTGCCTCTGCCAAAGGAAAATGTAAACCGTGAACCCCGATATGGCTGCACGTCATCATCTGTGGCCCCAAAAGTGACACTTCCGTGTCCTATGAGGGGATGGCAGATGAACAGCAAGTCCTCGTATTCCTTCATCAGCCGTGGGTAGTTGTCATTCACATCAGACAGGGTCAGTTGGAAATCCACTTCTGAGCTTAAGTGGCCACCTATGGAATCAAATAATCAAAGCATAGTAACAGCGCTCTCATTGTCCTCGTAAAAAGGATATTGCCTTTTCTTTAAAAAAAAAAAAAAACTACCATTCAAACATACTGAAAGAAAGCAAGTTTTTAAAATCAAACCTGGTTTCATTACTGTTAACAAGTCATAATTTATATGCTAAGGTTTTATGTATAGTGCTTTGAAATGACTGATGCATGTTTATAGATGATCGCTGAGGCTCAGAACTTGTAGGACTTGCCCAAGGTCACAGAGCAGTAGGGATGGTTTGACTGTAGCGCCCACAAACTCCACTGCTCTTCAAAAATGAAGTAGGCATCTTCATTAAATTTTTCTGAGCCTCATTACAAATTCAGCTGTAAAGCTTGTGGCTTTGTGAGGATCCCACACTTTGGTGCTCTCAGACAACAATAACGGGCTGTGCGATAGAGATTTCCAATGGTATGGTGGTAAGAAATTTGGATCTGTAGCCTCCGTGGTTGATGGCTGTATGATGGTGAGCCAGTTACTTCTCAGTCTCCTCATCCATAACTGTCAATAACAGTACTATTCCATAATGTTGAATGAGGAGTAAGTTGTTACACTGAGTGCTTAAAACAGGCTGTGAATGCCACTGACTGTAACCATTCTGATATCAATCACAGATGCTTGTTTCTAAAATTTCTAAGTCCCACCTATTTGAATTCCCATAAACTATTTCCTTGTCTTCTCAAGTCTATTCTTAACTAAAAGGGGGGAAAGCTTCCATGCATTTGAAGTCACTTCATCTCTCTACAGTGTTTCAGTTCCAACTACAAATGGAACAGATTTTTGGACCCTGGATTTGATTCTTGAAATTTCTAAGCTGTGAGAGGCCATTAGGTCATACATCCAGAGTGGAGTATGTTGTAGGGGTGTGCATAATACCAAAGCTTACCTGGAAAATGTCTGCTGATTCATCGGGAGCTTTTAAATCAAGAGTTGAATGTATACAATGTGATAGTGGAATGTGCTTAACTGGAAGCAAGCGATGGAGACAGAGGTGGGCCCCTTGACCCGCCTCAGTGAGGCCGCCTGCTCACACATACCCATTCCAAATTTGGCTTGCACTTCCGCCCTCATTGGTTCAATTTGTGGTGTTTTTATTTTTAATCATTGCACATGCAGGGACCATTTTTATGATTCCTACCTACTGGAATGTTCCCCATTCTACCTTCTGACCCTGGATCTCACATTTTAAAAGTTTATTTTTTGGCCTAAAACTGTATTTAGTAATAATTTATTCAATTTTTATTTTTCGTTAACCAGGCAGATATATTTGCTACTTAATTATAGCCTCTGGTTAGCATAAGAGCAACAGAATTCCTTCTCTGATTTGGAAAATTCCATTAAATGCAAAGAAACTCAATGTTTTAATTACCAGCCTCATCACTGGTAAGCATGCTATTGCTATGAGTTTATCTTTAACACTTTTTTTATTTCCTGGAACTCCACACTCAAAACAGTGAGCAACATATATCAACACACCTTAATTAAATGAGGAGCAGAGATTATAAAAGGATGGTTCAACACCCTTGACTTAATAGTTTTCTTTCTAAAAATTTACCCTATTTCATAAAAATACAAGTCCCCTAGCATCTGAATTTGAATAAATTCGCTGGATCATTCTGGCACATATCAAAGTTGGAAACAGTGCATAAAATACTTTGTTTCAAAAGGAATAAGCCTTGAGGTGTTGTGATGTGAGGATGAAGGAGCATTAATGGCCTAGATCAGTAGGCAGTGGTCTGACCCCACACCCAGGAGAAACCTTCAACTACTTTGGAGGAAGGGGGGGCACAAGGGAGCCTTCCTAGAAGCTATGGCCCTACAACCAGAGAGTGAACAGAATCCCTGAAATCTAGGCCCTCATCAATGGGCAGGAAGGTGACTTGTAGGATATACATATGTTTATGGTCATCCAGAAAACCAAAATATCCTTTGTAATCAGTGATCTAGTGAGTAAATGGGTTTCCTGAGTTCTGTGAGTTGATAGCAAATTAATTGAACCTGAGGTGGGTGTCCTGGGAACCTCTAATTCCTCTACTTTATAGCCAATCAAATGTGCAGATAATGATCTGGGTTTGTAGTGGACATCTGAAGACTGAATAGGGGCTTGGGGGCCCTCCCTTCTGTAGCCAGTAGGTCAGACAATCAAGTGGGATTTGCCTGGGGCTTGTGACTTGAGTCTGAATTGCAGGGCAGTCTAGAGAGATTGGGCCCATCCCTGTGGAATCTGATGCTATCTCCAGGTAGACAGTGTCAGAGTTGAATTATTGGACACCCTGCTGGTGTCTGAGAATTGCTTGTTGGTATCCTTCTGCTGGAAACTGAGGCCTACCCATCCTTCTGCTGAAAACTGAGTTGCCCCACACCACCAACTCTGAACCCATCCATATCACCTTCCCTCCCACTGATGAAGCCTCTGAAATTTTGGTGTGGTTTTTTGTTCATTTTGCTTACCTTCTTCAGATGCCACCACTTGTACCCGATATGGACTTTCAACTTCCCTATCCAATGTTGCCCTACTAAAGATCTCACCAGTGGTCTGGTCAATTCTAAGCCAACCTCTTCTGTCGCCTTTCAGTGAATACCTTCATAAAGTGAAAAGAGCAAAAAAAAAAAAAACCATTCTACATGAATATGTGAATCGTTTATAATAGCTTATTCCTCACTCGTTGATATCAGCACTGTCATTTGCATAGCATCTGTCTTCAAAGGGAGGATTTGTTCATCCTAATGAACTACACTTGTTTTATTAGAAAAGATAGTCACAAACTCTGGAAGAAAAAAACTTTTCTGGCAATCAAAGAATTTCAATTAAGGTAACTGGGAAAAATCTTTTAAAACAGATTAACAAACCACCCCAGTCTAAGAAAACCTGACCACCCAGTGGTGGACATGTATGAATGTGGACCCGGGTTCACAGAGCCTACTGGTGGCACAATGAGTTCTTGCAAACAACTGTTCAACAAACACCTGTTGAGTGCTTAGCAAACATCTGACAGTGGACTGACAGAAGATTACAAAAAGGGCTCTTAGGCCAGTGCCAGGGACAAACATAATTTTTTTTTTTTAAATATGGTTAATACAATGGGATTCTAAGGAAGTTTGTGGTAATCAGAGAAGTCTTTCTAAATGAATTAATGTTAAGTAAGGCAAGGCAGGGAGGAAGCTTCAAGCAGAGGTCAAAGAACAGTTTGGTGGAAGGAATAGTCAGACATTCCAGCAGTGTTGGAATATAACTGGGAAACAGTGGATGACAAAAGATGAAGCCAGAGAGATCAGAAAGAACCAGATCATGGAAAACAATGGTGTTAAGTAGGAAGAGATTTGGTCATATTTGTGTTTTCAATGGAACTCAGTGGGTGTGTCAAAGGCAAGTCTAGACAAAAACTAGAATCACAGAAAAATCAATTGGTACAGCCAATAAGGGGTTGGGATGCAATCCATCATAGCCGCAAGGATCCCCACCCCTTTAGACCAAAGGATCCCACCTCTGGAAATTTTCCCTAGGTAAACAATTTAATAATAGTGAATAATTATATGCAGATATTCAAAACATTTTCCATACTATTCAGGAAACAAGCTATATGTCCAGGAGTAAGAATAACTAAAGATGTATGTGTTTGTACATCAATTTTTTTCCTAATGTACTATATTCTGTATACCAATCACTATGTTAGGTTCTGTGTTCTGGTGAGGAAAAAGAAATCTTATATACTGGATGGGAGTTCATCCTGAATTAGATGGGGTTGCTTTCGAGGGTTTGGGGTGGAATCGCACAATCTTGACATTTTCAAAGAACCTCTCTGACTACAGGGAATAGATTCAGGGTGGGGAAGGAGTGGCAGGGACAAAGATGGATCCAGGAAAGATTATGGTGGCCTACACCATGTGGAAAGGGTGAGAAGCAGTTATACTCTAGATATATTCCAAAGAAAGAATCTCTAATATTTGTTGGTAGATTGGGTTATGATCCATTTGGTGCCAATGGTTTCTAAGTTTATGGAACTGAGAGAAAGAATGAACTTGCTTGGGTAAAAAACTTTGGAGTCATCCTTAATTCTTAACTGACTTAGTAACTTCAGAACTATTAAGTACTTCTTACTCATGAAACACATTTTTAATTTGTCTTCCAGGACTGTTCCTTACTGCACACTCCCCTTCTTACCCTCTTCCTCATCTGTCTGATCTCAATGTATCTTTTCTTGGTTTATTTGAGAAATTTTCTTAAGTGATTTGTCTTGCCCTCTCATAAACTCCAGTTCTTATTTAATTGTCTTTGACTATAAAGGGCTGTACAGTTATAAGCCCCATTATAATACATGGCTGAGATAATGTCTTTACTAAACTGTACAAGATAGTCCCCACTCTTCTCTCTTTGTCTATAAAACCGTGGAAGGGGGTAGAGTAACACAGTAGGTGAGAACTTTCTTGACACTCAGGAAAAAGTTCTTGGAACTGATTCCAAGGGCCTAAGTCATGGCTCTGTGGGAGACAAAACTGCCCTCAAATGTTGAAACTTAAGGAATTGCCATAACCTTGTCATTCATAACCACATACATTGGCTTAAGCTATACTGAAGCATTTGTCGTGCCATAGACTAATGTTATGCAATAAAAGCAAAAGATCTGGGTTCAGTCCTTTCTCTATGCTTATTAACTATATCATAAAGGTGCATAGCTATTGATACATATGTATTCTGGGCAAAGTAATTATACATTTTTAAGGCAAATGTGTCACTCATTGTACCGAGGGAAAAAAAAAATGTTGAGAATTGCTAAGATGGAAAAATCTACATATTTTGTTTCACTACCTTGGCCTAAGAACTAGAGTTCAGAATGAGTCTTGTTGCCCCAGACCTGCTCTCAGGAAGCTGCAGAACCTGTCCTAGAGAACAGGAACTACAGAACCTATCCTATAACATGCACAGAAGGACCCTATATGCAGAAGATTCCCTTCACCCTGTCAAGTACTTACGTGTCTCTAGTTGGTTTTTGCCTCATTCTCTGTGTAGAACTCCAATCTGCCTAGGGGCTGGACCTCTTTCCCACATCCCAGTCCCTATGACTGGTTCAAATATAGGGCTTGGTAATGGGCAGCCCAATCTCTGAACCCCAACACCCAACTCAATGATGCTCAACTAGGACATGCAATAAGAGAGCTGTAATGAAAACTGATGTGCTTCCTACTTGCCTGAGCCTCAGTTCTCATTGGCATACCACCATTACCACCACCACCCGCATGCCCCCCTAATCCTCTAAGGGTCAGGTTAACGTGTAGTGCACACAGCTTCGTATCACTGACTGCTTTCTTAGGGGGAAAGCTCTGGAGTTAAATCAGCTTCTCTGCCCCTCCCAGCTCTCCCTCCTCCTGCTAGTCTTCATCCCAGCATGGAGCTAGGCCTGCCCAACAATGCGGTCTTCTACCTTATGTTCCGATGTTCTGGATCCCACGCAGTCACATTGCCCACTTTGGTGCCTACTGGCACATTCTCAATGACACGTTCTAGGAAAACAGGAAGGGAAAATTGGGGTGCTTCATTCACATCTGTCACAATAAGCTGGAATCTGGCAGTAGAGCTTTCGTTGTAATGTACAGTTGATATTAGGGGCTCTGGATTTTCTGCTCGGAAGACAATGTTGTGAACAGCAGTTGTTTCAAAATCAAGAAGCTATATAGGGAAAGAAGAGGGAAAATTAATTTGGGGATGACTAACTTCCTTAAAATATTAATTCCCTTTAATTCTATTAGAGAGTAGCTGTTCTCAATCCAGTATCAGCAAAAACCTTCTCAGAAAAATAACAGAGCCAAGGAACCATCCTTACTGCAGGACTTATCAGAGCTTTGACTTATCAGTGCCAATATGCACTGTAACTACCAGAATGAGGAAATCCTTATTTATCCCTGAGAGATTTCATTCACCCAACAGAAGGTAATGACTGTGCTTCAGCCGTCTATCACCACACCTGAGGTGTCTCCATTTATATATCAGCTCTGTTTATAGGTCCTGGCATGTTTATAGGTAATCTATGAAAAACACAAATTCCAGTAAAGAGGAGCTTTACCTTTTTAATTGTGACATGTCCAGCATTGGTTTGGGGATCTGTCTTAACCTCCAGTTGTCCCTCACTATCTCCTTCTATGATACGATACACGATTTTGGAGCTCCCAGTAAATGGCTCATCATCATCAGTAGCCTGGATGGTTAAGATGGTGGTCCCAATGGCTGTATCTTCAGCAAAAGTTACGGTTCCATACTAAGAAGGAAACAGAAAGGAAGTAATAAGAATATCCATTGTCAAACATAATTACCAAAGGGCTAACTTGTCTCATTGGTTTCAGAACAAGGACACAAGTCAGAGTATGTGTCAATACTTGCCAAGCACATTTTTTCCTATAATGAATCTGTGGCTTTGATTTTGACTACAGTCATTCTCAGAGTGCTATCTCCATTGTATAAAGAAACAGTGTCTCAGAGAGCTACTGGTTGGATTCTAAAACACATTGCCCTCCTATATCAAATATGCTTAACAACTAATTGTTACACAGTAGTAAATGTTATAAATAACTACAGTGAGTACCTACAATGAAGCAGACTCTTTACATCCATTATGTTAATTAAGGCAACCAGGGAATAGCGGATAAAAGCCTAACTTTGGAGTGAAATAAATGGCATAAATTCCAGGCTTGCCGTGTATGAGCTGGGTGACTTGCAGTAAGTTACCCAACTTCTTTAAATTTTATTCTCATTGCCTAATGAGATAATAACAGTAGAAAATGCCTAATACTTGGTTTCAATAACAAGCAGCACAATGCCCTATTGCATAGCAAAATTATTCATCTTCATTTGACAGAGGTGCAAAGGATAGGAGATGTAAAACCCACCCCATGTCCAACTCCAAAGCCTGTGCTCTTAATCATTACTTACACCATCTCTGACTCCTCCACTGAAATCTCCTAAGCCATGTCACTTGGTATCATGATCTTAACGATGGTAACAGGCAAGGTCCGGGAGAAGACCACAGCAATGAAAGCAGCAGCCTCACTCCAGAGGCTGTTGTACATTTCTAAGTCTGAGACTCCCACAATAGGATGCTTACCCTTAGTCTAAAAATGCTATCTCAGCGTAATGCCAGGAAATCACAACACAAGGAAAAGATCAAATGCCCAAGAAAATGGAGGCTGAGAAGAAATAAGCTCTTGGGCCTCCCTGGTGCCCTAGGGGTTCATTCTCAGCTCTAGCACTCAACAGCATGAGTTTGAACCCAGGCCAAGTTGCTAACCCACACACATATGGCTCAGCAGACCTCTCCTGTCTCATCCACTGCTCCCTTTAGTGTATTTCAGTCAATCCACCTGTTCTGCTCCCTACTGTCTCTGATAAATCCGCTCACCCTCCAACCCCTCTGACCTATACCCCAGTTCTTCTGAGCAAAAAATAAATAAAATGAACTCTTATCTCAGGTTTGCTTGGTCTCCATGCCTGTTACACATTTATGCACAGCCATACTTCTTCTTCACCAAACCCTCTCATAAATCAGTTCCCTTTGTCACAGCTTAGTCCCTATTTGATTTAGGAACATCACACGGCTCCTGGCTGCCTCATAACAGATCTCAGATATGACATAACAATCTAGTCAAATGGACTTTTCTCTGTTCCAGAATAGACATTCTTTTAAGGGAAACAATGATAAAACCACCAAATGTAAAGTCTACATCAACAATAAGTAAACAGTAACTTAACATTTTTTTGATGTTCTCAACTGACATTTTTTCTCCTGTTCTTTCTTCCCAGTTCTTAATTTTTGCAAATGTCTTGGGCACATTTTTCTTTAGCCAAAGGCAGAGATTAGTTTCTTTTCCTTTTCTCTTATTCAGTTATTTCAAAATAAATTCAAGTTTCCAATATTCCAGACATCAAAATTGTCACAAGTGCTTGCTTGAGACCTATCAGTAATCTATTTATTGTCCCACTACACACAAAACAGATAATGAATGATAGGCTCCAAGTAGCTGTTCTACACCTTTCAATTCGACAAAGTTGTACCTGTAGCTTTTAAGCAGCCCTAGGAATAAATGAGCCATTGGCAGAAGTTTACAAACAGACATTCCCAGATACTATAATAGCAAATGTTATTGTTCCCTCCAGATGTCTAAGGAAGATGGTGTCTGCATTTGTTACCAGTGCATGACTAAGGCTATCTGTTCAGCCTGCCATGTTTCCTAACTACCATCTGTGTCTTTATCCCAGAAGGAGGTTCCAAGTAATATGAACAAAATAAATAAAAAATAACAAAAACAAATGGCAACTACTCACATCTGATTTTTCAAAGATGGGGATCTGGTCATTGATATCAATAACATTGACTTGCAGGAAGCAGTAGGTCTCAAAATCTGAAAATCAAAGTCATCACAGATATTTTCACTGAAAATCATGCATTAAAATCAAACCTGCCAGAAAAAATTAGCATTAAATGGTAACTATAGTTGCAATTTTACTACTGACTTGCAATTTATATGCAGAGGGGAATCTTTGCTCCCCTCCTGCACCCACAGCAGATCACCAAAGGGAGGCTGAGAAAAGACCAAAATGCATGCCACTGTGCTCTATCTGCCTCCTCCTGGGTAAGACTTGTTCCAGAGCTACAGTCCTCTTCCCTAGTGAAACTTTTGTATAATTCCAAGCCTACCATAGAAGTATGCAGAAAACCTTCTCTGAACATCTCCCCTCGTTTGAGCCAGCCTAGGGCCTCTTGTGTAACAGGTCCTCCCTGCTTTTATGTAAAACTCTTAATTGCAGCCTAGACTCTAAATTTCTGCAGTGTACAACTGAATGTTTAATTCCACAAACATATACCCATATTTACAAAACTGGTCCACATTTTCTATAGACGTACTCATGTACACAGACAATGTTAATCTGATTGCCACTTTATGGAAATAAACAGCATTATGCTATTTGGTAACTTTTGTCATATTTTACCATAAAAACTCAATTCAATAACACCACTTCTAGAAAGTCTCTCCTGCTCTCTCCCTCCAATGAGGGATTCTTCTCTTTTGTGGGCTTGCAATTTATTCACATGTCCATCTCCCTGACTGACTGTACTTTCAGGCACCAAAGTCTTGAGAATGCATAGGTGAATGAGGCCTAGTGTCAGCCCTTAAACAAGGTAAACGCTCAGTAACAATTGGATGAACAGATGGATGGCTAATGATGTGAAATTGTTAATTCATCACCAGCAGGGATGATTACAGTTGCTTCCATTGTATACTTGACATAATTCTGGACAATACAAAGTATTAAGCATTTGCCAGAGTGCTAAGTTTCAAACATTCTTCATTGGGGCCTACTAAACTCCAGTTCTTTTCAGTATACTAACATCTGTCTAAAGGAGAAAAGTGGGGCCTCCCCAGTGGTGCAGCGGGTTGAGAGCTGTGCTTTGAAGCTGTCCACAGCCTCTGCAGCATGAGTGCGATCCCTGGCAGGCCAGGGAGAAACCCACACGGTGTGGCAGACTTCTCCTGCCTCACCTACTGCTCCCCTCAGCAGTATCTCTGGTCCGTCTGCCTGTTCTGCTCGCCACTCTCTCTGGTGAATTCTCTCACCCTCCCATGCCTCTGACCTGTACCCCAGTTCTTGTATAAATTAAAAAAAGGGGGAAAAGTGTGAAGCACAAAGTGAAATGATGCTTTTTTTTCTTCTCTGCAACTATATAATTTGAAACTCCTAGCATAGCAGTTGAACTATTTGGTAATCTAAGATTCAGTTCTAGTTAACTCACAGGAAGACACTTGACCTTCTAGGCATGTGTGTGACCATGAAATGAGTCTATCTCTGAATACAAGTATTTGTGCATGCATGTGAGCACACACTGAGAATGTGTGTCTTTATGTGAGAATGCATAATTTTCATTGCATTCTCAAAAGGTCTTATGATCCACTTGCTTTCTTAAGTACCACTTGTTCTGAAACTAAAGAGTAGGAAGAATGTCTCCTGATAGCAAATGGCCAACTAGAAGCTGATAAACTCCCCAAAAGTGCATTTTCCTATATTCCTTACAATGAGAATCCTTTGAGTCCAAAAGGAAGCAATGGGAACTATAACTGTCTTGTTTGTGATCATGGAAGCCATGAGAAATGGACCTTGCTGACCCCCAACAACAGAGACCTTCATGCTCTGAAATCCATCAGCACATCTGTACCAAGGCCTGGCTTCCGAGCAAGGCTCCTTTGACAGCCAACTTTGAACTTCCCAAGGATTTTGACAAAATTTCCTTTGGTTTCTCAGTGGTCTGTTTGGTTCAGAGCAAGCAAATGTTGCAAACTGGTGGCTCTCCCAACCCTCTCTGCCTCCCTCCCCATATTTCCTGATGGGCTGCTCCCCTCATGGAATCCTTGTACGTTTAATTCCCTCTTAGCATCTGCTTCACAGAGAACTGGAATAAAGACAGTAATGTGTCCAAACTGAAACTCTGGCTGTTTGTGATGTTGGCTGCCCCCAGGCTGCATGTGTGCCTGATGGAGGAAGCATCCCCCCTTAGCATCCCCTTGTAACAGACCAGGCAGGAGAGCGGCCTCACCAACCACAACGAGAAGGAAAACCGTGAATGTGATACTAACCTTTGTCAGATACCGTTACTGTCAGGTTGTATTGAGGGGAATTTTTTTTCTTCAGGGACTGTTTAGCTAACTGTAAGTCTCCTTTGTAGGTCTGGATCATGAAGAGGTCATTACTGGGATATGTGGGGGTTTGATCCACAAGTTTGTATCTTAAGATACTGTTGGGAGTGTTTTCTTCATCCATGTCATGAGCAGTGAGGGTACCAATAACGCTCCCTGTGAAGAAGGCAAGAAGGAAACTCATACCTTACAGGCTCTATTTAGTCTAGTTTTTTAGAAATGGTTTCACTGAACAAGCAGATCCTTAGAAAGCACTCGAGTAGTAACAACTTTGAGTAGCAGACTAAAGCTTTCAGATTTATTTTGTTTGTTCTAACCCTTCCCATAGTGCAGTAGGTTGCATAGTATATTTGTTTACTAGGGCTATCAAAACCAAGTACTGTGGGCTGGGGAGTTTTAACAACAGAAATTTGTTTTCTGTTTCTGGAGGCTAAAGATCTGAATCTAGATGTTTTCATGTTGTTGTTTTTTTTTTTTTTTTCTGAGACATCTCTCCTTGCCTTGTACATGTACATACTTACATGGTCTGTATGTTTCATATGGCTGTTCCTTTCTACATGTCCAATTTTTTTCTTACAAGGACACTAGCCATACTGGAAACATTCATATTAGAGCCCACGTAATGATATGTTTAACATAATTATATCTTTAAAGACTATTCCCAAATATCATCACCCTTTGAAAGAACTGGGAGATGTAGACTAGTTATTCACTAGACATATGAATTTAGAGGGTGGGGGAATAGTTCAGCCCATAAAACAAATAGTATCATAACAATTTCAAATCATTCAGAACCTAGAGTTTGACCTTATTTGGAAATAGTTCTTTGCAGATGTAACTAGGTAAGGACCTTGAGATGTGTGTGTTTCCTCTGTGTGTCTTCTAAGAACAAAGTGGAGAAGGAGCAGAGACTGAAATTATGCCTTCGCAATCAGTCAAGGAGTTACAGGAGCTAGAAAAGACCAGGAAAAATTCTCCCTTAGAGCCTTTGGAGGTTGCAGAGCCCAGCTGGTAGCTGGCACCTTGCCTCCAGACCTCTCGCCTTCAGAACTATGAGAATAAATTTATTTTAAGCCACCAACTTTCTAGTGATGTGTCACAGCACACTAACATACAAGCAAATAGGGTAACTAAGCAAAGAAAGACCAACCCAGGGTCAGTTTTAAGCAACTTTACAGAATAATTGCAGAGACTGACTCCACCCCAAAGATAACACGTGGCAAAGTATAGACATGCATCCTCTCTGCCATGCTGCAGATAATGGCCTTAAGTATTTTATTCCTGTGTTTCAGTTCAGTTTGTTCCAGAAATCAAAGGTCATGACTTAGTGCTCCACCCAGCTCTGGGAGAATTCTGATAGGTTCTAGATCATCAAGCTCTGTGAAATGGGAATTGTGGATTACAGGGGGCAACTATCTGACCTTGGGACTAAAGCTTGACAATGTGCCATTTGTGGAATTAGGTGACATCCCCTCGTGCATATCAAATGAGCATAACAGAGGACAGAGCAAGACTAAAAGGACAAAAAACAGATAAAGCTTGAACTTTATTAGTGTGTTCAGCTTCCTAGAGAGGTAGGATCAATGGTCAAAAGTCAGCTTCCATCTATATTGCTTACTTATTGCATTGGGTATAAATATTCAAGTTGTTTAGCAGACTTGATGAGATTGTATCTGAATTTATTAGAGGACAAATAAGAACCTGTAGGAAAGTCTTACCAATGAGGTACTCTTATAGATGTAGCCAGAATATTGGCATAGGTGATGATGGTGTGAGTGGAAGGATGGTAGAGTAGTAGTGATGACGCAATTATAGAACTTAAGGACACTACCCACATGATGTTTGAGCTGAAACACCATACCCATGTGAGAGCCCAGACGCATTCAACCTCTATACTACACTAGACAGGACAACTGATCCCTGCCCAGGTTTATCTGCCTACCTTTTACTCACAGAGACAAATGGATTGCAGTTAACACAGGGAGGACAATTACACAGCTTTGGACAGCTCTCGTTTCTTACCTATGAGTTCGTTCTCCTGGACCTCAAATACAGTCACTGCAGATGGACAAGTAGGTGGATTATCGTTAATATCTTTAACTTTCACATGAATTTGCAGAGGGCGTGCAAGTAGTTTTCCAGAGTCATCCTTTGCATTTGCATAAAAAGTATACTGCAACAGGAAGGTCACAGTTAATTTGTGAGTCCCTCACATTCCCCTTTGAAACACAGAAAAACAGCTCTTTTATTTCTATTTCATTTACCCCCCCTATTTCAATTTACTAAGAACTGGGAAACAGACATTGTAACAGGTTGGATTTGTAGGGAAATTGTCATCTCTTTGAGAGCAATAATGTATTGGGTTTCAGAACACAGTTTTGAGGGGAGTGTCTTTGGGTTTTGTTTGTTTTTTAAAGTAAAATCAGCTCTGCTTTCAGCTGTCCGTGTGCACAGGACTTTGTCTTATCACCTGTGAACTCTTCCCAGTTTTACTCACTGAATCTTTTTCTTCCCGGTCTAAGGGCTGAGTGACGAAGATAGCTCCTTCCTGATCAATTGAAAATGGGAATCTTGGCAGTTTCTCCTTTTCAGTCAAGGTATAGTGTGCACCAGGATCATTCCACTGCACCTGTGGAGCCCAAAGTGAATTGTGAGGAAAGAGACATCCCCACCAAGAGATATGGGATGGAAATAAACAATTTTCTGGTCCTTGATTGGAAATTTCTTGACACACCATGTTGTTTGTACTTTTTGGTTTGTTATAACTACCAAAGTATATTTTTCATTTTTCAACCTAAAATAAGCCTTTTCTTTTTTTGCCAAGTTGTTTTGCCGAATTATGCTATCACAGGAGTATTTTTCTGCTCTAAAGCAATTCTTTGTGAACCTGCTACAGAATTTGTGGGTTACTCAATTGGAAGTCTGACTATAGAGGGCTTCAAATCCATGAAACAAATTTATGGGGAAAAAATGTACTTTGTAGCTGGTATTATCTGAGGACTATGCCATGATATGTTATGAGACTCTAAAAACCTCAATGATGATCAAAGCAATAGAAGACACTTGAAACTCCTTGCTATGCTATTATTTAAGATAAACAATACATAAAGGGCCTTCGTCTAAATATTTAGTCTAACTTTGTTTTATAAACAATTTGGCAAAAAAAGAAAAACTTAGTAGTAAGACCAGTCTGATTTACGACAGACAGCCTGGCCTCCCCTTGGTCTAATATTATTAACAACAACATATATTAAGGGGATACCATGTACCAGACAATTCTATTATGTATTTTCTCCTTAAAGCTTCTCAAATAGCCCTGTGAGGTTAACAACTTTATCCCAATTTTAGAGATGAGGACACTAGGGCACAGAGTTGAAGTGATTTGCCCAAGGACCTCTACATGGTTGAAATTTCCATGCTAAACTATTCTCTCAGATCAGCATGGGAAGAAAATCAAGAATCGGTATTGTCTCTTGCTAGTGAGCTAAGCACCACCTTCTGTCCACACCACGGGCCATGTTCTCAGTTCTAAGGGAGCTCTCCTTGTTCCCCTAGAATTTCAATCTAAATTCTCTCTTGAGCTATCTGCTCCCACTCTTCCTACTGGGTTTCGTGACACCCAAAGTGCTTCCCTAGGCTGTGCTGGTGAGGCACTCCAGGTTTCATTTCTTTTACAACCCTGAGAGCAAATAACACACGAGTTCTTGTTAGCATTTGCAAATGCTTATACATACAACCTAAATAATTGGAAGACTTGAATAAATGCCCCAAATCTGAAATACTCTTGGCAGTGGGGACTGACATGCTTTCTTAGATGCTAAAGCAGAGAAGCAAAGCAGTCCTTTATTTTCATTTCCCATAGGTGAAGTTCATTAATTCAACGTTCAATAAACAAAAGTCCTATTAGATTAGGTAAGATATGATGAGCCCCTTAACAGTAATAAAAAAAAATCTTAAGGAAATACAGACTGGGACTCCCTCAGAACATTAATACATTTATCCACTTTCATAGAAAACTACCGCTCATTTAATGCCTACATCAGAGAGCTCTTATTAACCCTGTTTTATTGATGAAAAGTTGAGGCTCAAAACAGTTAAATGGTTTGTGATCAAAATAATGATGCAAAGGTAGAGTGCTTCCAAATCTAGTGCTCTCACTAACCCGGTTTTCATGTCAATAGCCTCCTGATCATCTAGGAAAGATCAGATTAGACTTCTAGGAGCTAATGTGGGAGGCATGCCAGAGTGAAGAGTATTGAGTTAGGAGGTGGGAAGGGGGGAGCATTCAGATGGAGGGGAGAGGCACACAGAGGAGATGGAGTTGGAGAAGACGGTGTTCTCCAAGGGTAAAGGTTGCCTATTCAACTCTGACTCTTGGTTAGTCCTTTGTCCCTTAACCTATGATGAGTCTACTTATCCCACAAGAATAAGAAGCAGCCTTTCAAAATATCTGCAATCCCAAATTCAAACTATATATATGATGTTATATATATGATGTGTGCACTGTATACAACCTAATCTAGGGCAGCAGTATTCCATACAGGGAACAGACATTAGTGGCATCTACTTTGAAGGTGAAGGTAAGTGATGCTCTATTAAAGTTCAAGGGTAAATAAATTATATAGATATATATATACACACACATATATAATGTGCAATATATACACATTTATATAATGTATAATAAGTACATATATATAATTCGGATTCAGAGATCTGAATCCAAGTTGGTGAAGTCCAGAGTTTATCTATAATGGTTAACATCAGAGATTTGGGGCCACTTTATATAGTTTGCTTTATAATTATGCTATGTAAGAATATACTTAACCTAACAGCAAAGTCCCTGAGAGTGGGTCTCTATAAAGTTAGGCCTTTTATCTCTTAGGCATCTTTGGGCACTACCTGAGTGATTTGGATGGGGTGAGGATCCGTTGAGTTTTCTACAATCTCCACAGGTGCTGGTGCCTTCCAAATATTCTCTGTCACTGTAACCTGCACATTTGTTGTCTGACTGAAGGGAAGTTTTGCACTGTCTTTCACCATGACCACCAGATTGTAGGAAAACTTCTCAGCAACATCCAATTTCTCAGATCCTGTGGGAAGTAGGAGAGTAAAGGAAATGCCTCTGAAGGTAACATAATCTAGTTCCTATTTTCCAACCCAATCCTATGAAGGTTTCCCTGGACTTACCTTCTGGGGTAAGTGAAATTCCCCCTGTTTTGCTGTTGATCTGAAAGTACTTGACATTGTTGACCATAGGAAACTGGGCAATAATTTCATAATTCAGTTGACCATTGGGAGTGGCTGGATCATCCTTGTCTGTGGCATTGACATACATGAAGGGTCTTCCTGTTTAACAAAACATACCCAGGGGAAAAAAAAATTCTTGAAAGCCAAATCAACCTTCTAAGAGACAGAAATAGAAAGTGGGGAGATGCCATAATTTGTACCAATGAAGAAAGAAATCTTTACTCTGTTCCCTTTGTCTAGGATGAGGTTTCTCAAAATATAATGCAAAAACCTCTAGAAACTAAGACTGATTTTAGTGGTCAATGGAGTCAAAACTCATACTTGTATAAAAGATCCATTCAAAGAACAAGGTAATTAAATGGATTTTAGCATAAAGGAGTAACAGAAAGGGCTTTGAATCATTTCAGAATCTATATTTCAACCAACCTATAAGAAACAATGACATGCTGAGTTTTGGTAGAGTATCAAGACTATATAATACAATACTATATCTGAAACACTATTACAAAACTACTCCTTTTTTCATCTGTAAAGGTGAGTGCTTCTATACATGCTTCAACCAAAACAGCATATGGCAACAGAATGAAAGTGAAAACAGACATGAAAATCCAATTATTTTCAATTAATCCAGATATTAGAGAGATTTGCAAAGGTTAAAACAATACCATTCTTCCTAATTCTTTTTGTCTGTATGAAGTTATTTTTCATTAAAATGTTTACTATTTTTAATTGAATGAATACAATTTTTAATTTCTCAGTTATAATTTCTAGTATAATACTGATGGGTATAACCAGTGACTACAGGTGCCAATTCATGAGTGCCAATTATTGAAATTCCAAAAATTTTGTGAGTCAATTATTAATACCATTATTATCTTAAAATAGGCCACAGAGGGAGTATTTATACCACAGAAATTGGCAAATCCTACAAATCAACACCCCAAAGAACAGAATTCATATATCCAAAAGGTCTTTGGAGTTCTAAATCATTTTTTAGGAGAGGATGGGAGTCCTGGCACTAAAAAGTCTGAGAACCACTGCTCTAAGAGAGTCTATTGGTGAAAAGAGAAAGGGTAAGACCTGGAAGATTCCTGTTTATGAAAGTTCATTAGTGAGTCTTTGGCACACAACCTTGGGGACAGAGATAATAAGATTGCTCCACATAAAGCAGAAGGAATACTGCTCCTGAGTTTCTGGAAGTGGGCATGAGACAGAGAAGATTAGGAAACAAAAGAGAAATTTGAAAGTGAGTTGATAGGTTTCTGTTTTCAGATTCTTGACCATCCCAATGTTTACTTTGTGTACTGTTATGACATGATGCTCCTTCATCTCCTAAAATCTTTAGTAAACCTTGTAGCACACACTAATGCCTTGATGAGGGACTTTTGTGAAAATTAAAGATGGAAACATGGTAGAAGGTTTAGCCAGAGCCAGGAATTGGAAGTAAGCAAAGACAAAGAGCTAGTAAACAGCAGTGACCATGAGAATGTAGCTTCCTTAGAGGATGTGGGAGACGGAGCTCACTAGAGTGCTCCAGTGTTCTGAGGTAGTCTAAAATTCACCCTGAAATAGTGGTTCTCAACTGGAAGTGATTTCACCCCCCAGAGGACATTTAGCAATGTTCAAAGACATCTACATTATCATAACTTGGGCAGGGGGTGGTGTTGCCACTGACATTGGTGGGATGTCAGGTTTGCTGCTAATACCCTATAATGCACAGAACAGCCCCTGACCCCCCCCCCAAAAAAAAAATATCAGGCCCAAGTTGTCAATAGTGCAAAGGATGAGAAACCATGCCCCAGAGCAAAGGGGATAATATAACAACTCTCAGAAGATTGCTGCAAAACTTAAATAAAGCTGTCATTCATTAAGCATTGATACTCTAAGCTTTCAGCCATAGGAACCTTCCCTCTCTATCTTATACCCTCCATCTTTCCATAGACATCTCCTGTTACCTGGGCGAGAATTCTGTCTTACTGAGCCTTCATAAAGTGACCTGGAAAATTCAGGTTGATTGTCGTTGATGTCCTCCACTATTATGATGATGGGGACTGGACCCTCTATTCGCCTTCCTTGAGCATCCAAGGTTGAGACCTGGTGTTGAAAGGAAAAGGAAAGCACCTTGATGAATCTGGACTTCATGTCACATACCCAAAAGTCACTTGAAGAAAATTAGAGTTCAAACGACAATAATCTGGTGACTATAGGAGTACAAATTGGGAGCTGCTAAAAGAGGGTTCCCATTGGTTAAAATTGGGTAATTATGACTGAGTCTTTCCAGCAGTGAGGTATGCTGGACACTGGACTGCTTCTTTACTGAATAGTCAGTGAAATAAAAACATGTGGACTCTTGAGGCTCTGAAGGCGCCATCTCTTCCATAGCAGTCAACTGGTTTTTCGTGGTCAACCTTCAGAACCAATAGAAAATTTAACTTGCTCTCCTGCCCCACCCCACCCACAATAATTATCTGTACCCTTCTTAGGAATTCAGGTACCAACCAAGAAAACTAAGGGAAAGAAAGAAGAGTGTTTCTTTAGTCAGCCTCCAACCTTTGGTTACTTCTGCTTCTTGCAAAGCCCATAAAATTTTCATTCTACTGCTGATCCTGCCTTTTTTGTGGGTTCAGGGCCCATAAAAAGACACAGGCAGATACCAGAAGAGTTGAGTTAGGTTTAATCCAGGTGCTTGAGCATGACCATACTTGGGCGAGTAATGTCATCAGAGGCTCTTAGCAATGTAAGTTGGGTTAGTCTAGTTAAAAAAACCCAAGGAAGATGATGCCATAGACTTCTGTAACTGGTTTAAAAATAAAAAGGGCAGGGCCTCCCCGGTGGCGCAGCAGTTGAACGCTGGGTTGCGAAGCTGCCCGCAGCCTCTGCAGTGCCGGTTCGATCCCCAGCTGCTCCCTGGCCACCGGAGGAGGGTCCCACATGGCGCACAGACCTCTCCTGCTGCCTGCTGCTCCCCTCAGCAATGTACTTCAGTCCTTCTGCCTGCTCTGCTCCCCGCTCTGGCTCTGGTGAATCCTCTCACCCTCCCGCACTTCTGACTATACCCAGTGCTTATATAAATAAATAAAATCTTTTTAAATAAATAAAAATAAAAAGGGCAAATGAAATTTTCAAAACATTCCATAATGTCAGGAGAGCTGTAACAGGATTCTATGCAAGGTACTACCACAAAGAGCAAGGGTTCTTTAGTTTCAATTCACCTGAAGATGATGAACAGCTCTTGCTTCTCTGTCCAGAGGTTTGGAAAGATACAGAAATCCCTCTGAATTTATGACAAATATGCCATCTGTTTCCCCAGATAGTTGGAAATTCACACTAGGAGGATTGGCTTGAAACTGGAAAAAAGCAAAAATTAGATCAGGTTATATGGAAAAACAATGTGGAATGTGTAGGAAGTCACAAATTTCAGGAAATGTTTCCATTTGTACAATCACTGAATAAATTCTCAGCTTTTAAATTGATACATCCCAAAAGTTTGCTTGCCCATTAACTATTTAACATTCCAAAATACTTTTTCCTCAGGAAACAACGTATGATATAATTCAATAAACATTATAGTTGTATTTAGATGAGATTTTCCTAGGAATATTTGAAAGCTATGTGTTTATTAGTGTCTAAGAAATGTTAAAAACTTATTGGCTTATTGCTAGGATAAAAAGATGTCATTTAGTACTTCCAAATACTGTGGCAAGGATTAAAAGACATTTTAATATAAAACAATGTGAAAGCGGTTTTAACTTCATAAGATTCTCTATGATTTTCAGAAGTGAAGAAAACATCAACCATTATTTATGGACTAGCTATAGCCCTTTCAAGTCTGCAAGAGATAATTCATAAAAAAAAACTGACAAAGTTGTTCAACTTCATTAATAATTTAATATATTTCTAACTTAAACTTTAACAGCCAATATTGGTAAGAAGTAAAGAAATGCATGTATTATTGATGAATATGTAAATTAGTACAAACCTTTCAGAAATAACTTGAGGCATAGAAATGTTTGTAGCCTTTGATAATATAACTAGACAATCTAGCCTAAAGAAATATTTAAATAGTAAACAACCTGCTTATAAGTAGCATTATTTATAATATCGGTAAAGTTGAAAGGTAAATGGTCAAAAGGAGGATAATGTAATTATTATAGTGCATGAACTTAACAGAATTTTAATCATTAAAATATTCATTTGACAAGTTATGAAATAGACATGAAGTAACAAAAGGAGAATTTAAGAGTAAATCTAGACTCTGTAACAGTCCCAAAATATTGATGTTAGTAGGCAAGAAATGGAATTTCAACAAAGAAGGGTTAATCTGTCAAATGGGTAAGACTGTGGATGAAGAGTTTTTGTGCATTTTTCTTGTTGATACTACTTTTATAACTAAATGAAAAAATTACCATTTTGTGTTTTAAGAAAAAGGTCTGTGATTGGTTGTTGGTGGATGGTGACTAGACATTTGACGGAAGGTATGGTAAGTAAATGAAATCTTGGAACCTCTCCAGTGTTGTAAATTAATGTCACTTCATTTTTTTTCTTTTTTTAAAGATTTATTTATTTATACAAGCACTGGGTACAGCCAGTAGCATGGGAGGGTAAGAGAATTCACCAGAGCCAGAGTGGGGAACAGAACAGGCAGAGTGACAAAACACACTGCTGAGGGGAGCAGCAGGCGGCAGCAGAGGTCTGTGCGCCATGTGGGACCCTCACCCGGGGGCCAGGGATCGAACCAGTGCTGCAGAGGCTGTGGAAAGCTTTGCAGCCCAGCACTCAACCGCTGCGCCACCAGGGGAGGCCCTTCATTTTGTTTTTTAAAGGAAAGGAATGCCTAGAAAAACCAGATTGCATGACGATCCCAAAATATGTGAAGAAAAATGGACACAAGTAAAGGAAAAAGATACAATTCAACAATTGTTGGGACTTCAAAACTTCACTTTAATGAGTGGATAGATAGATGATAGATATAAACAGACATGGTCAAATAAAAGGATCAAGAAAAATAGAAGTGAACAACACTATTAACTATATAGAAACAAACGTGAAACATTCCATCCAATAAAAGCCTAATATCATCTTTTCAACAGTATTTGGAACATTCTCCAGAACAAATCATATGTGATCACATGAAACAAGTCTCAATACATTTTAAAGAATTTAAATCATACAAAAATATGTTCTGATCACAATGAAAAAAATTAGAAACCAATAACAAAAACAAATTTGGAGAAATCATAAGTATGTAGAAATAAAATAATAACCAACAAGACAAAGAGGACATCAAAAGCAAAATTAGAAAATAGATGAATGAAAATCAAAACATACAAACCTCATGGGATGCAAGTTAAGCAGTACTTAGGACATCTATACTTGTAAAAACTTAAAATGGAAGATTATTAGAGAAATTTCTTTAAGAATAAAAAATGTAAATATACTAACCAAAAAGCAAATACAGGATCAATGAAGTAGACATTACAAAAGCAAAGAGAAAAAAGTAAAATCAAGGTTTTTCCAAAGATCAACAAAATTGACAAATCTTCAGCTAGACTTACCAAGAAAAACAGAAAATATTCAAATAACAAAAAATCAGGAACGCCTAAGAGATTTTTTAAAAAGAATTAAGGAATAGAAGCTATTTTCCCACAAATTATACAACCTAGATGAAATGGATGAATTATTAAATAGACAAAAGCTACCAAAACTGATTAAAGAATAAATAAATACGAGCAGAACTAAAACGAGTTCCCACAAAGGCCAGGACCAGATGACTTCAGAGGTGAATTCTGCATAACATATAAGGAAGAATTAACACCAAAACCTTCCCTGGTGCTTCCAAAAAAGTAGAAGAATAAGAAACACTTCTCATCTCATTTTGTGAGCCAGTATCATCCTGATATAAAAATGAGAAAATAAAACTACAAACCTATATCCTTTATGAATTTCAATGTAAAAGTCTTCAACAAAATATTAGCAAACTAGAGCCAGCAACATATAAAAAGAATTTTATACCATGATCAAGTGGAATTTGTCCCAGAATCCAAGGTTAGCTCAAATTATGAAAATTAATGTAATAACCATATTCATAGACTAAAGAACAAATATCAGCTCAACCTCTTAATAGAGGTAGAGAATTACTTGACAAAAATCAAGTATCCTTTTATGATAAAAATTACTCAAATTAGAACTAGTAGGTAACTTCCTCAACCTAATAAAAGGCATCTAAGAAAAAACCCACAGCTAACATAATACTTTAATGGTGAAAGACTGGATGCTTACCCGTGAGCTCAAGAACAAGACAAGGATGCCCAAACTTGACTCCTCTGTAGAACACTATACTGTAGATCTCAGCAAGGACAGTTAGAAAAAGCATCCAGATTGGAAATAAAAGAACTATCTGTTCAAAAATACAATCTTATACATGAAAAACCCTAAAGAATCATTTAAAAATTATTATAGCTAATAATTATTATAGCTAATAATAATTATAGCTAATTATTATAGCTAATAATTATTAGCTAATTATTATAGCTAATAACTATGAGTCCATAGTTTCAGGATATAAGTGTGGGACATATACACAATAGAATATACTAAGCAATCAAAGATAAATTCATGCCATTCACAGCAACATGGATGGAACTGGAAAGGATTATGCTCAGTGAAATAAGCCAGAAAGAAAAAGAAAAATATCAGATGGTTTCACAGGAGGAATGTAGAGGAACCAAATAAGGAATCAGGAAAAAAGTAATTATAATAAAAAAATCAAAATCACCAGGCATCTATAAATCAGAGACGTTCTGCAGGGAAGGTGGAGGGAGAAGGACCAAAACGGGAGGGAAGAGCACAAGGGACTACAGCGATGGGCACGGGTGAATTGGTGATGGGAATTTCACGGGGACTACACCTGAGAGGAGAAAGCACACATTGTACAAAAATGAAAAATGATGATAAATATAAAATAGGGCCTTCCCGGTGGCGCAGCAGGTTGAGCGCCGTGCTGTGAAGCTGTTCACAGCCTCTGCAGCGCAGGTTCGATTCCCAGCCAGCCAGGGAGAAACTCACATGGCGCGGCAGACCTCTCCTGCAGTGTCTTCGGTGCTTCTGGCTGTTCTGTTCCCTGCTCTGTCTCTGGTGAATCCTCTCACCCTCCCGCGCCTCTGACTATACCCCAGTTCTTGCATAAATAAATAAATCTTTAAAAAAAAAAATATATATATATACAATAGTTTCAGGGTACAGAGAAAAGATCAACATACAGACATCAATTGTATGTCTGTCCACTATCAAAAAAAGCTGAAAACGTTATTTAAAACAATTTCATTTACTACAGTATCAAAAATAATGCTTCAGAATAAATTTTACCAAAGAAATCCCAATACTTGTAAACTAAAATCTATACTGTTGACTGAAATGAAAGATCTAAATAAATGGGAAAACTCCTAACTAGTCCTCTGCATCTTCTCTTTCCCCTCCAATTTTCAGCCAGAGCAATCTTTTTTAAAGGGAAACCTGATATGGGGCCCACTGCTTTTGTAGAGCTGTAAAAGCCAGGGTCCTCCTGGGTCTACAGTCTCCCTTCCACCTTCCTCCCCACTTGCACTGGCCTTCCACCCACCCTTGCCTCATCCTCAGTATGTGCCCTGTGCTCTCCCAGCACTGGGCCAAGTCCCAGCTGTGCCTTTGCTGGAACACTCTTCTCCTTTCCTCACCAAGTGATTCCTACGGGCCTCCAGCTCCCAAATCACTGGCTACCCCCTCAGTGCCTAACTTCTCAGCTGGAGAGGTCAAGGCCTTGATAACACCCTCCATGGCACCGGGGACTGAGATACATGTGCACCTCTGCCAGCTCCAACTCTGAGACCCCTTTGTACTAATCTGGTACCCTTCATACTAATCTGGTGAGAAAAGGGGGTGAGGCAGCTTTCAGGGGAACTATCCATCAAGGCAAACTTGATGTGGGGTGTGAAGGGTCACGGGCATCCCGCAAGGGTCATAAAAGCATCCTCAAGCATTCAAAGGCCAAGTCAGTCACCCCAGGGGATTTCTGGTAAATGCAACAGTATGTTTTTCTCCCTCTCCATTACATTTACAGGATTATTTCAGTGCCCTGTATAGTTGAAGTCTCTTACCTCCAATCCGATGCTTTTGTTAGTTAAATGATATGACCACTTCCCAGCATGCTGTGGCCAACCCATAATCAAGGACCCAAAGCTAGGCTCAGAGGAAGTGGTGAGCAGGGCCTTTGCTCAGAGAGGCCAAGTTCCAGCACTACTCACACCTTCAAATGCTTCAGGCAGCAAGCTCTTTGAACACGCAGCCCTATGGTAAAAGCCATCCCACTGCAGAGGCTGCTTCTCTTCCTGCCCTGGGGGAGGGGCAGAGTCTACAGGTACCTTGCCCCACCCCCACCAAGGTGAAAGTACCTGCCCTAACACAGCTGAAGAAGTCCGAACAAGGGTGTCCATCTCTCTGCTTCACTTAAGTTCTGAAATCATTCTTGATGAGATCTACCACACTGCAGCTTCATCTACTACTGTACACTAAGAGCCTGCCAAACCAAGATGTAGCTATTACCTGGAATATTTTGTAACTGTCCTTATTTGGTAGTTCACCTTCAGGGACAGTAAATGTCCTAGGCTTCAAGGGTCCACTTGTTTCTTGTCCATATCCAGTTGTCTGTTAAAAGAAAATTAGCAGCATCATCCATTCTGAACATAAGGGGTCATTTGCTGATGTCATTATGGCTTCCGAGACTGAGACATGAAATTGAGCTTCTATCTTAGCTCAAAACAACTCAAATCTAGTCCAAAGAGGCACAAAGGGGTCTACTATTTGTTGAGGCTCTACTATATCAAGATGGCTTGCCTTGAACTTTGCATTGTTTTTTTCTTATTTATGATTCAAATAATTACACTTTGGGGAGAATATCAGCTCCTATGTTACCAATCAGGCTCAGAGAAGATAAACCACTTATCCCGAGTAAAGTCCACAAGGGGTTGACAGTCACACACACATCTAACTGAAGCAAAGCTCATAATTTCCCCGCAATGCCACTATGCTTTCTAAGTTCTACATGGTTTTACACCAGCTTTTTCAAGCATCTCTCTGCCCTCTTATTAGTTTATCGAGAAATTCACAGCAGATTCCCAGCATTCTAGAGTTCACAGTCACTTTAAGACAACTGCACTTATAAAGACTGGAGAAAATATGTAAATGTGTTTAGTACAATGCTGGCTTGGCCCAGAGTTACATGGTAAATGTAACATTTGATTAGCAATTTATATTCAAGGGGGCTCAGGGGAAAATAAAAACAGAAAATGTCTACTTCAAGCGGTAACCCCATAACAGTTCTAAAACCCAAAGATCCTGAACTTGACAGGCGAGCAGATGCCCAAATCCAGGCTGGAATAGTGTAGTAAGCGGTGCCTGGCCAGTAAGAGCTCACACTGGATAAATTAGTATTTTCCAAGCTCTGTCCTAAACACAGTTAATCCTCACAACAACCCTCTGACGGCCTCCCTGGTGGCGCAAGGGGTTAAGACACAACCTATGAAGCTGTCCACTGCCTCTGCAGCACAAGTTCGATCCCTGGCGGGCCAGGGAGCAACCCACATGGCGCAGACCTCTCCTGACTCCCCTGCTGCTCCCCTCAGCAGTGCATTTCAGCCAATCTGCCTGTTCTGTTCCCCACTCTGTTTCTGGTGGATCCTCTCACCCCCCCCCCACACCTCTGGCTTGTACCCCAGCTCTTATATACATAAATAAATCTTTTAAAAAAAAAACCCTCTGAGGGAAAATTGTTAGTTTCTTGTTACCCGGGATCAGTAGTTTGCTCAGCAGAGGGAAGCTGCGACTCCAGAAGCGGCCCTCACAGCCAGCAAACCCCACTACCCACCAGGGGGCGCAAAAGCGGCCTCGACAACCTGGCAGGAAAACCCGCTCTGTCTGGCTGTGAAAGCGGGGTTGTCCGCCAGTCCCAACTGGGAAGAATGGGGAGTTTTTCGACCTCGGCACCGCTGCACTGCCTTCATCTCTTATCATGGCCACACCTTTGAAAGGAAGCACAAGGCAGGGCGGAGGGCACGGCACACAGCAAAGGAGAGCAGGCCACAAACCCACCCTGGCTGGGCACCCTCTGGGACTTGGACTTAAGAGTCCCCTCCCTGAATCTCCTTCTGAGGAGGCTGTTCTTGTCTCCCCTTATAGAAGTTGAGGGCAGAATGGGTTAGAATCAGAAGTGTGATCTGTGGAATTAGTTGGGGGTTTGGAGCAGAACAGGTAAAACAAAACAAACAAAAAAAACTGGGAGGAAGATACTTTGTTTTCCACTTCCACTAATCCTGCCATGGAAACCCTGTAAACAACCCCCAAATCATATGAGTGATGGGGGAAAGATCTTAAGTTATACCCCTTGGTTCACTGAATCTTAATTAAGTTGATACTGGCAAAAGAACAGTAAGAAATGGGAAGCCAGCAGGCTTTGGAATTTGGTCTTCGCTCCCTCAGAGTTGTGGCAGCCCCTTGTATTAGCTGCCCTCAGCCTTCCCCAACCTCTCTGTCTTGGGGAACTGAGCAGGCTCTTTCCCAGACTCCCTTGCAACTAGGTGACCAAGTGACTCATTCTGGTTCTAGTTCAGGAAACAAAAGTCCTCTTCCAGGTGAGGAGAAGCTGGGATCTGGCCAAGTTTTCATTTTCCTGATTAAACAAAGACAGATAGGGCTGTCATTGCCCTCCCTCTCCATTGTTCTCATTCAGACAACAGACCTCATGTCCACAGCTGTGCCATCACGAAAGGGAGGGGTGGAACCAGCTCAAACAAAGTGGGAGAGCAAAAGAGGGAGAAGTCCCAGCCTCTAGCAACATCACGGCTAAGCCCGGCTGGGATCACCCTTCAGGATTCTCGTCACCTGAAGAAACTAACCTCCTGTTGACTGAAGACCTTTAAAGTTGAACTTCCTATTACTTGTGGCTAAAAGCATTGTCAACTGACACAGTAACTGTGGACTTCTAACCCAGCTCTTCCTTTCCAAATTTTTCTTCCTCCGGTAGGGCTTTCTCCCTCCTGTCCACTCTTTCTTTTTCCTGCCCCATTAGCTCCTCTGCAAGGTGAGGCACAGAAATTGGTGTCCAGGGCTATGTGGTTGGTCCAAGACAAGGGCAGTGCTTTTTGTGGGGAGATTATTTAACAGCAAAGTGCCTTCATCCACTTTGTGCTCACATCAGCAGGTGGTCAGCCTTTCAGTTGACCACAAGGTGACACACAGAGGAAAAGTACATGAGTCAAGCAAACTTCACAAACAAGCCTGCATTTTTCCTACATGGATGAGCTGGCTTGCCTATCAGGAAAGGAGGACCCATCTCATTTGCAAGGTTCAAAGTTGGGTTCCTCTATCAAGAGCTAACAAATCTCTCTTCCTGCCCATTAACCTAGCAATTGGGGCTATTAAGGTTTCAAAATGCACGCGCACACTGAGTCATCAAGCCATTCTAACTCATCAGGCCATCCTGCCAGAACTAGGAATGTGGTGGAAACTTGTGAGATGAGAAGGTTTGTGCAAGACTTGGAGGGAATAACACCCGCCATCTTGCACGGAATGGTAGATGGGAGGGAAGAACATGGAACTGACATTTCCTACATGGTAGCTATGGAAATAGAACTATGGAACTAGCCTTCCATACACATCATTTCTTGTGAGCCTCAACCATATTAGGTGATTTCCCCCAGAGAAGTCCCACCACAGAGACATAGCTGGTAGGTGCTATGGTGGGGAAGAGCCAGCTTTGTTGGATCACCACACTCAACTTTTGCTACACTGCCTTCCAGGCCAACTAAGGACACTTGCAGTAGCCAGAGCTGCCAACCTGGTAACTGCCCTCAGTATGCTTTCCAGCAAGAGTTCGCTCATTGATTGCATAGTACCTATGCCAAACTCTTCTAGAAAAAGCAGTCTCAGACAAAACTCTAAAAGAGGTGACTTCCCCTTGACTTCCTGCCTCCTTATTTAGCACCCTTTCCCGGAAGCCCGATCAAAGTACCTTTGTCATAGACTCAGGCTGCGTTTCTAACCCCTTTATGAAAAACAGTTCTGAGACGAGAACAGGAGAGTCACTCTCAGTATGGAAATAAAATGGCTGGCAATCTGTTTAAATTGCTACCTGTGAATTAAGCCTTATGCCAAAGGCAAGGAGTTCAACTTTTATTCTTCATAGGAGGGGGCTTTGGAGCAGCAGTGAGTCAGGACAGGAGAGAAAATACCACCACAGAGGTAGCACCTTCCCTTCTCCCTCCAGAGACAGTTGTGCTTGTGGCTATCTTCTGGGCAAGGCTCTTGCTGCCAGCGGTGGTTTGGGTAGCAGTTCTTAGTCTAGGTTCAAAATCCCACCGGGGCTGTGAGTAGGTAAGTGGAAAACTTATTTTCCCCTTTTATCCAGGAAGAAAGAAGTGCATGCACCCCTTCTTGAATTACTGTGATGGGATATCATTGTAGGTCTCCTTGTTGCTTCCTGATACAAATCCAGAGTCGTGTGTTTAATTTCTGCCCTGTTAAGTGCTACGTGCTGAGGCTGCAAAGATACTAAAACACAGCAACTTCCTCATGAGGTCAGGGTCCATGTGGGTGTAGACACTGCATATTTAAAATTCTGTTCTTTGGGGATCCCAGATGAAAGGAACAAAGGTTTGAGGTATGAGTGTCTAGTAGCTTCCTTCTAAGGAGAAAACGATTTCTTGCCCATAATCTTGTTTCATAATACAACAAATTGTTTGGCAAGTGTCTGACCTATATGAGTCTTGGGAGGGAAGCAAGAGTGGCATGCCACTATTTATCTGAGGTCAAGAGCCAGGTCTCTCCAGGATCCATCCAACTTCAGCCTCCAGAAGCCTGACATTCAGTAGGGTCAGCTCAACAAATAACTAAACACAAGTTTAACCAGAAAAATCCAAGCCATATATGGGAAAGATAGTACCAAGTGGAGGAGGGTTGAAAATAGTGTAAATGTTTTCCTTAACATTGGTGATAATTTCTTATGGTCACTTTTTTAATCCACTTTTCTTTCCAGATGCCCTAGGCTATGCATGAAAGTCTAAACCTGAGTCCACAGATTTGTTTTATACTTTGCCCATTTAGTGGTATTGGCTTTTAAGAACTGAGGGCAAAGTACCTTCCCTGACTGAAGGACAGACTTATGATTTGTAGTCATTTTGCCAGAAATATGACATCAGGGCAGATTATGTGTCTTTTGCTGACAATTATTTACTTCTGATAGGTTTCTTTAAAAAGTGATACCATTGTTTTTCTGGTATGATAGAAGGCTGGGGGGAAATATTCTTGGAAATAAAGAAACTTCTCTTCTCTTACCAAATAAAGAGTAAGGAGAAACAAGCAGCTCAGCTGGGCAGGAGCCATTGTGGTTTTCCTCATTCAAACTCCTATGAATAAACCAGAGATAAAAGTAATCAGTGACCAATCTGTTAAAACTATTTTTTGCCCAACCAGTAAGGTTCACCGGGTGATATGTAATAATAAACCTAGTAAGATGGGGTCCCTACAGGTCAGCCTCTCCTCTGCAGGGAAAAGCCCAGTCTTCCATCTTCCAGAAGTTCCACCATCCTTTGTCTACAGGCACACACGCCAGCATCCCCAAACAGGCTATTGGCCAGTCCTTTTCCTTACCTGTTTCCATTTATTAAAATTTCCATTTAAGGGTCTTAAATGATAGGTAAGAAGTGTAGCTTTCGCTCATATTATATGGGTGGGGGAGACAGATTTTGGCCAACAGGACACCTAGGTGCTAAATTTAACTGGTTTTCATTCAGCTGTAAAAAAAAATATATATAGGTGATTCCTCAAACAGAAAGTACCCAGAAGAATGCTCACAATCTGGGCATCCTTGGTGGTGCAAGGTGTTAAGTTGCAGCACTATGAAGCTATCAGCAGCCACTGCAGCATGACATGAGTTCACACCCCAGTGACCAGGGAGCTACCCACATATGGCACAGCAGACCTCCCCTCAGCAGTGGATTTCTGTCAATCTGCCTATTCTGCTCCCTGCTCTGTTTCTGGTGAATCCTCTTACCAACACCAGCCCCCACCCTGCACTTCTGGCCTGTACCCCAGTTCTTGTATGCATAAATAAATAAATCTTTTTAAAAAGATGCTCACAATCCTTCATTCAAAGAGCTCACTGGCTGCCTCTTTGGTCTTCTAAACATTGCTGTTAACTAATCAATACATTTAAGGAGAGAATGTACTTATGCTCCAAAAGTAAACCAAGTCAAAATCAAAATGCTGCCTTTATTCTCTTCTATACAATTTTACATTTCCTTTGCTCCTTATAGCTTCACATTTCACAAAATTATACCTCAATTTTTGACATATTGTGACTGATTTCAAGATCCGAGATAAATTTTCCTCATGGCATCTAGAGCCGGGCTATTGTCTATGGTTAACGCTGCACTTCTAGAACAAGCAAAAACAATGGTATGAAGAAGGCATTAATTTCACTAAAATCCCAATCATTTTTTTGTCACTAGGGGTTTTGATGATTCATTTCCTTTTTCATTTTTTTTTTCTTTTAAAGTTTTTCTCATTGAACACATATCACTAATATTATCAGCTGTTAAAATTCTATCCACTCTAAAAATTTAGACCTTGAAATGTTTAAATGCCTTTTATTTGGGTAGCTTATATTTGAACTTTCAAAGGCAAAGAGTACTAGCCCATGGTAGATTCACAAATGCCCTGGGAAGTAAAGACAGAAATAAGCATTTACAAAGATCTGTGTGTAGGGGTATATGAGTGTGTATGTTGGGGTGGGGGTGCCTATAAAAACAGAGTGGATGGTGCAGAAGTTGAGTTCAGAGTTAGAGCCTGGATGGGGCACCCAGCTCTGCTTTCCAATCTCTCAGAGCTCATGAGTGTACTATTTAATCTCCCTGCCTCAGTTTCCACAAATGGAAAACACACAGCAATGGCTCAGCAGTAAATGCGTGCTTTTCTGCATCTCTCATGAACATAAGGAAGTAGGAAACCGAGGTTCAAACTTAAACCATTTTCCAAAAGTCAGACAGCTAGGAAATGACATTGCCATGCTCCCCATCGGGTTCAGATTCCAAAGTCCAAAACTTCTCTTTCAACTCTTTCTACGATACATCCCTACATGGTGGGACAGCTTCAGAGAATACATGTAGACAGATGTAGAATGTGTATATTGTTTATACATGCCATCTTCTTTAAGCAACTTATCCCAAGTTTCTATAGCTATTTCAAAGAAAAACCAGGAATAAGACTCCTGAGGACAGTTAAGATACAAAATTCTACCAAGCTGTAAAAGTTAGCTTTTGCAACAGAATTATTTTAGTTCAGGTGACTGGTATCCCTTTAGAACTGGCTCATATTGTTAAACATGGACAAGATATTTTTCTAGCAACTATAGATGTGAGGCTTAAAGCAGGTGAGGGAGAGGACAAGGGATCAATAAGAGGGGTGAGGAGCACAAGGAACCACGGTGATGGTTCACAGGTGATGTGGTTTGGGATAGTAACAGGGACTACACCCGAGGGGAGAAATCAAATATAAAAATATGAACAATACAAAAAATTAATTAAAAAAAAGATTTTCTACTGTGTAGGTGGTTTGGAAACACATAGAAACAAATCCCAGATTTTAGCATGTTGCAAAATGAAAGCTATATAAATGAATAAACTGGCATTCTTCAGTCTAATTATATTTTTATATGAGTAAAATGAACACAATCTGCTATCAACCATATATTTTTTTTAACCATTTTTTTTAAGAGACAAAATATAGACAATGATGACACATCGGGGCTCTTTCTTCTCAAGTCCCTCGGCTCTCAAAGTGCTCGCAATGCCCTCCCATCTTCTTTCAGTCTTATCTCCCACTCCCTTCCCACACACACTACCACCTGCCCACGGGAGTGAACTTTGCTCTCAGGCTTTTCCGTCCCCAGGCTCCAGCACTTGCTGTTCATTCACCTCACCTGGCACAAAGCCCCACCTGGAGTAGAGGAGCAATAGCTATTTGCTTAATGATGTTGGATGGAGACTATCCTTCCTCGCCACAACTTCTCCTATCTCACTATCTAGGTTCAAATATCCATTTATTCTAAAAGCATCCACCATCACATCTGTGCCAGATACGGTGCTAAGAACCAGGATATCCCCCCCAAAAAAGGGTCTGACTTCATGGAACTAGGACCAAAACCCACATCTTTCATCAAATATTATGATTTCCAGCCAGAGGAAGTATCCTCTTCTTGAAGCATTTTATTTTTTATCACTTATTTGCATGTCTGTGTTACTGCCTCTATAGAAAACAAAATCCTTCAAGGAAGAGACCTTATTTTAAAATTAATTTTTCAGCCCCTCATAACTCTTCATGCTATGTCTTGCATATATTAGGTCCCCAAAAGATGTTTATTAAATACTAAAACAGTTGTGATCATTTAACATTCTGTTAATTTGTCTAATCTATAGGAAAACAGTTCTGGAATAAACATAACTTCTTAAAGAAAACTAATTTGGGGTTTAAAGAATTATTTTGATGCAAAGAAATGCCTTTTATTGTTGAGGAAAAGGATTGTTTTTCTCTTAAGCACTCTTAAATTTTTGCTCAATAATAGGTTAGGAACTAGTTGATATTTAATCTCTCCTTGAACCAATTCTTTTTAACATGTTAGCCTTCCAAAAACATAGATGTTGAATGACAGAAAAGCAAATGAAAATATGTGCCTCATTTTAGTCAGCTGCTCAGACAGATCATGGTCTGGGATGATTTAAAGGAATCTAAAAAGTAAACGTGGCAATGCTCATAAGCTTTATTTTGTTTTTGCATTTAGTCCTAATGCTCAATGTGGAAAATGGAAATAACTTCTTTCCACTCTCACACCTAGGGTTACGCAATTTCTTTGGGGATAAATCTACCACATGATACAGTCCTTAGGCGTTCAGGGACCCAGGGGTAGACTGGCTGGTGTGAGTTTTGGCTCCTCTGTTGGCACCTGGCCTGCTCTGCTCCTCTGGAAAGTAGGGATAACAATGCTATCTTTCTTTGAAGTGTATGGGCGTCAATGAGTTATTATTTCTAACAGTGTTTGTCAAATAAAAATTTGTTCTGCTGCCCAGGTTGGCTGGGTCTGAACCTTAAACCCTGTCCTTCAGGATGTCTCCTTTCCCACTGTCCAGGCCTTGGTGGCCTTGATAATGAAGCCTACTCAGGCTGCAGCCCCATGGCAACATCCTCAGTGACCAAATAAAGTGGCTAGGCAACCCTTTATCTGCATGATTCAATGCAAACTACACAACTGCTAGGGTTATGCCAGAAGAGGACCTTGGCCTCTCATCAAGCTTGCCTATTTTTCCACTTTGTATAGACATAAGAAATACCACATCCCGGATCATAATGGTGCTGGAGGAAAACCATAGTTTATAATGAAATTGCCTACAACCGCCCAGCCATACACACTGGATATATTTCCTCACAAATATCACTTGGGAAAGGATTGGAGTAGATTCCTCATAATCCAATGACATTTCTCTGAACTACCTGAAATAGTTGATTGTACTATCTGCTTGGAATCTTTGCTATTTGTCAGAGTGGCTCTCAGGAACAAAGACGAAATTCAGACAGTTTCTATGGCAACAATCTGAGAGGACAGGCACATCCTTAGCAACACAGGTCAAAGGTTTGAGGTTTTGAAAAGCCACTGCCATTTGCTTTAACCATGGACCACTGACAAATACGGAAACTGGATTCGGTGCTGCTGGCCTTGCTGCTTAGGGCGTATCACCTCCTTTCAATTCACCACAGCCCAGAAAGCGCTCACTTCTTCCACATCCTGAATCTGTGTCCAGTCAGCAAAATAACACAACGTAGCTGACATTTGCCAGAAACAATTTGGTATACACGGTACTGAGACTTCTATATGAATTCTAACTAATTTCTCTTAAGAACTCTATGAATCAGTATTTAAAGTTTATCTTAAAGATCAGAAATCTAAAAGCTAAGTGACTTGCTCTTGATCACAGTCCCAGCTAATGCCACACCCTTGCTCCTATTCCTATATTATCTCCCTCTGAAAGTACAAATGTCCTCATCAGACATCTGGTATCACTTAGTACATTGCCTATCTTTCCAAAAATTCAAACACTCTTTTTCACGCTGGCTGCTCTTCCCTTCAATTGCTAACATGACTCCCCCTGCTCAGAGAGGCTTCATTCCTACAGCTGGTGACATTCTGTTTTGCTCTGTCCATCCTCACTTCCCCCCACACCATCTCCAGAGTCTCCCATTTCAAGCCTGTGTTATGGGTTCAACAGTGCCCACCCCCCCAACTCATATGTTGGCGTCTCAACTCCCAAGTACTTCAGAATGTGATCATACATAGTGTTTTCCTAAAAAGAGGATA